ATTCTCCCTCCCACGCAGATTTATGTTCTCTCTGAAACCAAAATAAACAAAAAGCACAGACACAAACATGAAGTCTATTTTATGTTGACCAACTACTCCTAAGTATGAGGCCTGCCCTGGAATATGGTTGATATTATCCGTGTCATTCCATTGAAGAAAATGGATTTCCCTTCTCCTAGTAGCTATCAATTGCAAATAGCTTCTTGGTTAGGGATGGGACTTTGTGTCCACTTTCCCTTCTCCAGGCTGGGGTTTTGTCTGCCTTGAATGTGCAGGTCTTGTGCATGCTGTCACAGTCCCTGTGAGGTCTTACGTGCATTAGCTCTGTTGTGCCTGGAAAATGCTGTTTCCTTGGAGTTGTCCACCACCTTTTGGCTCTTACACTCTTTCAGCCTCTTCTTCTCCAAAGTTCCTTGAGGGTTGACAGGAGGCGCATGATAAAAGCATCCCATTTGGGCTAAGCGCTGTAACAATGATTCTCAGCCTGTGGGTCATGACCCCTTTGGGTGTCAAACAAGCCTTTCATAGGGATCACCTAAGATCACTGGAAAACACAGATATCTCATTCTCTGCATATTGACAAGTTGTTGGTCTCTGTGTTAATTACCACCTACAGAAAGAAACTTCTTAGATGAAGGTTGAATGATGCTCTGATCTATGGGTATAGCAATATGTCATTCGAAATTGTTTTGTAGCCAGGTGGTGGTGATGCACACCTTTAATTCCAGCAGTGGGGAGGCTGAGGCAGACAGATCTCTGTGAATTCAGGGCCAGCTTGGTCTAGAGAGCAAGTTCCAGGACGGCCAGGGCTACACAGAGAAACCCTGTCTTGAAAAACCAAAACTAACTAAATAAATATTTTTAAAAATTTTAAAAAGTTGTTTTGCTACTGTGTTTATTTAGCAGAAATGGTAGTATGTTTTCCTCTGGCCTATGGCCTGTCTAGTCCTAGGTTCTTGACTTCATTAAGTGTCAGGTATGGTTTCCATATCATAGAGTGAGCCATACGTCCAATAAAAAGTGATTGGTTACTCTTATAGCATTTGTGCCACTATTGCACCAGTGGGTATCTCTTGCAGGTAAGTGACACTATTGTAGCTCTTCTAGCTAGGACATTTTAAAAATTCATGTGTATGTGCCACAGTGCACCAGTATAGGTCAGAAGACAACTTGTGGGAATGGGTTTTCTCCTTCCATCGTGTGGGTTCTGGGAATTGAACTCAGATCCTTAGGCGAGTATTTTTATTCATTGAGGCATCTCACCAGCCTCTAACTAGAGGATCACCATAGCTCTTAAGCCTTAGGATTTCTTTGTATGTTATTTCAGGAGAAGGCCATAGTAACTATTTCTGAGCATGGCATGGACAGTGTGAACTAGTAGCCTTGTGAGACCTCAGTAATACATTTCACTCTGTGCCTTTAACTAGTTTCATTAAAATTGTACAATGGACAGAGTCAATTGTTCTAAAAGGTCTGTAATAAAAAGTCAGCAATCTTCAACCCTTTCTTTGATATCCTCAATTCTACTCCCTCAATCTCAGTTTTCTAAATCATTGTTACCACATTGTTCTTTTCAAATTTCCCTTGGTGCAGGAGGAATATTTAATACCATTACATGACCAATGCATTTGCTTAATCTCCATCCCCACCCTTACACTTCAGTTTGGGAAATGATTTTTGATCTGGGGGTATTTAGAAATTTCATACCAAATGAGCACAAAGACAACTTAAAATTTCTCTCTCTCTCTCTCTCTCTCTCTCTCTCTCTCTCTCTCTCTCTCTCTCTCCTCTCCCTCCCATCTCTATCTTTAAACTTTTTTCTCTTAAAATATTTTAAAATTTAGAGATAGACTCTCATTTATGTAGGCTTCTTGTTCTTTTTTTTAAAAATCCTCTTCTTTCCTTCCTTTCTTTTTTTTGCTTTCTTTTGTTTTGAAAGACAGGGTCTCTCTTGATAGCCTTGATTGTCCTGGAACTCACTATGTAGATCAGGCTGTGACCAGAATTTAAAGATCTGCCTACCTCTGCCTCATGAGTGCTAGAATTAAAGGTGTGTGCTACCACAACTGGCTCTTTTTCTTTTTTCTTTTGGTTGTTCAAGACAGGTTTCACTGTCTAGCCTTGACTGTCTCGGAACTTGCTCCATAGACCAGGCTGGCCTCAAACTCCCAGAGATCTGCCTGCCTCTGTCTCCTGAGTGCTGGGATTAAAGGCATACATCACCGCCACCCAGCCTCTTTGCCTTTTAAAAAATATTTAGTTATTTATATTTTATGTGTATGATTGTTTTGCCTGCTTGTATGCTTGTGCACCACATACATGCCTGATACCTTTAGAGGACTGAAGAAGGCATTGTATCTTCTGGAACTGGAGCCAAGGATGGCTGTGAGCTACCATGTGGGTGCTGGGAACAGAACCCAGGTCCTTTGCAAGAGTAACCAACACATGCTCCTAATTACTGATCTATTCTCCAACATTCAAGCATCCTGTTCTTGTTTTTTTTTTTTTACTTTGTTCGCAATAGTTCAGACCAATATACTCCTTGATTATCATAGTCACTGATAACAGAAGCAATTTACCTTCAAAGCCTCTAGGTAGTTGGACCTTATGTAGTAAAATAAACAAGGGTGAACTGATTGAAGAATCTTAGTGCACCTCTGACAAGAACCCAGGGAACTTTATTACCATAGTTGGAATGGTACTTGAATAGAACCTAAATGGAAACTGAGACTCTGAATAAAACTTCTTAGTCTGTAGCAGCTCCTGTGAACTTACCTGCCTTTTCTTAGAAAATACACACAAACATTTATATGCCTCTTGGCCTCCTAAACTGGGGGCTGCCTGCTCTCACTTCACTCAGAAATACTTAATCTAGCCCTCATTAGCCAGTCAAAGAAGATAAGGAAGCCATGTTAAGAGTTAAGGGAAATTCAGAAATCAAGCACTCATTTCAATGAGAGGTATAATCCATTTTTTCCCCAGTTCTTTCCTTCAGTGACTCTTGGAGCTTGCTTGGGTCCCAGGGTTCAGATGGCTCCAAATGTTTCCTGGGGCACTAATAAAATCAGGTATTTTCCTAGAAATTCTTCATTTGAGAAATTCCAGTTCTCAAGGATTCCTTTAGAGCTGTATGTGATTTTTAGGGTGTGTGGGGGAAGTGTAAACAATCTTCTATGAGAACCCTGAGTAATTTTATAAGAAGAGGTTGACTTACCCAACTGCAGTCTGATCTAACATCTTAAAACAACAACAACAACAAACATGACTGGGCGTGGTGGCACAGGCCTTTAATCCCAGCGTTCAGGAGGGAAAGGCAGACCAATTTCTGTGAGTTCAAGCCAGCCCGTTCTGTATAGTGAGTTCCAGAACAGCCAGAATTACATATTGAGACTCTGTCTCAAAAAAACCCCAAAACCAAGCCAAAACAAACCAAAAAACATGAAACAAAACAGTTAATCATAGTAAACAGAACCGAGGAAAAGGAATTACCAGGTTAATGAAAACAGATTTTATTCTTAAACATCTTTCTAAGTTTTTGTGGTGTGACTCAACAAATCTGAAATTATTTTCTTGGGGTTTGTTCGTTCTGTCCATTCCTTCCGTTTCTTTCTACTGTCTGGAAAGGCACACCGGTAAGGAAAAGTCACAACTGCGCTTCGCATACAGAAGCAGGCAGCAGACAACTGAGAGAAGGGCAGTGAGGACCAAAGGCCCTGTGCAAGGCCACAGACAGAAGCCTGGGGAGCTGAACTACTCGGCCATCTCAGAGTTTACAAGGGTTTCATTTAGAACAAGGTGGTCCAGAGGGGTTAATCAATAGGACTTGACAGATTGGATATGAAGAAAAGGGAGCGTTGCTAGATTTCTGACTCCCAGGATGTACAAGAATAGGGAGAGGAGAGGAAAAGAGAGGAGAGGGGAGAGGAGGGGAGGGGAGGGAGAGAGAATATGTATGTGTGTTTGGTATATATATGTGTTTGTGCAGGTGTGTGCCCATGTGCATACGCATGCGGAGGTCACAGATTGATGTCTGGTGTCTTTCTCAGTGGTTCTCTTTGTTTTTTGAGACGGGGTTACTCACTGAACTTTGAGCTAATTGATTTGCATAATCTGGTTGGCCGTGAGATCTCTGGGATTATACATGTATATGTGAGCAACCACATCTGACTTTTATTGGGTACTAGGGATCTTAACTCAAGTCCTCATGCCAGCGTGGGAGGCGCTTTAATCATCTGAGTTATCTTCCAAGGTCTCCTCTCTTTGTTTGTTTGTTTGTTTTCTTTTTTGAGGCAGTCTCATGTATCCCAGGGTGGCTTGGAATTCATTATGTAGCCCTGTTTTTGAAAATGACTTGAGTGGAAGATGATCTTGAACTTCTGATCCTCCTGCGCCTTCTTCACTAGTGCTGGGATTGGATTGTAGGTGTTCGCCACCATGCCTGGTTTATAAGGTACTAGAAATCAAACTCAGGGCTTTGTGCATGCTGGACAAGGGCTCCACCAGTGGAATGATATCAGCTCCTTTTCTTCCTTTTTCTTTCCTCCCCCCCCCCCCCTGTATCTTACTATGTAACCCTAGCTGGCCTGGAACTAGCTCTGTAGACCAGAGCTGGCCATGAACTCACAGCGGTCCTCTAGCCTCTGCCTCCCTAGCACTGGAATTACAGGTGTGTGCCACCATTCTGTTTATGGAGTTCTAGGGATCAAACCCAGGGCTTCACATATGCCAGACAAGAATTTTACTAACTAAGCTACATACTTAGCTCTCTGATACACTGTTTTGTAAATGACTTGAGCGGAAGATGAGAACCAGTGGTAAGAGGTATGCACAATTCGGGAAGGGTGTATTGGTGGCTGCTTTCCTCAGGAGCTCTGCAAGAACTGAGCAGACCCAGTACTCAAGGGAATATTTTCTCAACACGTGTTCCTCTAGAAATAAAGCAGAAAATATGGGGAATTACATCCTTGGGAGATGGTAAAGCTGGATTTGTTTTGTTAAAGGTAATCGACATGCCTGAACACAACCCTGGTGACTTGGGAGGAACAATGAGACTGGGATTACGACGAACTGTTTTCACAACTGAAAATTCCGTCCTGAGTAAGTATCCCAGAGCTTTGATTTGTATACGACACTAGGAGTGGTTCAGATGGCTGTCCTACTAACCTTTTCCGCAGCTTTCCAGCTAGCCTGTCACCCAGTCCCCTGCTCTTGCTGACCTGTCACTTGAGGAATTCACTTTCTCCCCATTCGAGTTCATTTAGAAGAGTATTGGTTATGTACAAAGTGTCCCAGAGATCAAATGATAATTTGTGTCATACTATGTTTGTCCTGTCCCTGCAAAAGTTCTCTTGAGAGCACTAATACAAGTTTTTTATTTATTTTTTTGAGTTTATGGACCTATATTGAAAATGGCTTCCTCTTTCATTGTTTCCTTTTTGTATGTTTGAGCCAGTGTGTGATATGTGTGCTAGCCAGAAATCTAAATGAACATATTTGTGCATTTCCACAATGGTAGTATTTATTGAATAACAAGGTTTAGCAGTTTCTATGGCAGAAATCGTCATAAAATTTACTTATGCTTACTTTGGTAGCTTGGCTGAGGTGAATACAAGTTTTTTATTCCAGTCTTTTTAAGATTTTATTTTATTTATTTTTTATTCATTTTTTTTCTGAGACAGGGTTTCGCTATGTAACAGCCCTGGCTGTCCTGGAACTCACTCTATAGACCAGGCTGACCTTGAACTCACAGAGATCCGCCTGCCTCTGCCTCCTGAGTGCTGGGAGGTGTGCACCATCACTGCTGGACTGGTTGATTTTTACTTCTGTGTATGAGTATGTGCATGTGTGAGTGCAGGTGCCCCTGAAAGCCAGAAGAAGGTGTCAGATCCCTTGGAGCTGGAGTTACAGGTGGTTGTGGCCTGCCTGATACGGGTGTTAGAAACTGTTGGGTCCTCTGCAAGAGCAAGCAACAAGTGCTCTTAACTGCTGAGCTATCTCTCCATGCCCCTATGCCGAACTTAATTAGTGATGTTAATTCTCATATCATATAACACACAGTAAATATATCTGTGTACCTCCATATGTATATATGGGTTACATAAGGAATACAAGTTGAAGAGGCTACAGCCAAGGTGAAGAGGTTTCAGAGTGGGCTGAGAAAGTCTGTATAGATAATGAAAGAGATCCATGCCAAGAGTGAGCTGCTGCTGGAGCTACTGATTAGCATTGGGAGCAAAGCTGCAGAATTCAAGCCGATGGTGAAAAGGTCAAACTGAGTCCAGAGCAGGAAACAAAGCAGGAAATGGGTCAGGAGCTGATTCAGGCCTAGATGGGTGAACAGTTGAGTAGGCAGTATCAGCAGTGAAGTACCAAGTGGACTCGGAGTTCTTGGCCTCTGATGAACAAACGGGGTATCAGATGATAGGCTGACATGGAGCCATGCCATAGCAGTGTTCAGTGCCCATCACTTTATAAGGTCTAGGTGAGAGAATTATACTTTCCACGATCTGATGTGTCTGTTCAATTCTTAGGTTTGGTTCCTCAATATGGTTTTAATACACCCATATGCCCTCACACTTTAAAGTTTCCTCAAAAAACTTACAGGATGGTTGTCTCTCTTTCTGTTTCCCAGAATAAGTCATGTGTCAGTTTGTACTGAATAGTTTGAGCCTGGAAAATGATGCAGTTTATGGATCCACCCAGGAGCTGCAGTCATCCTTCTTCATGGAGTTAAAATTTGCTTGTAAAATTACAGTGCACAGCCTGTTAAACCAGTTGATGCAATATGGAATAACATAGAGTAGGGTATATTCTGTTCTCAACACTGGGCTTCATTAGTATGTAGTTCTGGTAGGCCTGAATTTCTGAATGTAGCTGAGGCAGGTTTTGAAGTCCTTATCTGTCTGACCCCACTTCAAAGTGTGCCAGCACATCTGGCTTTTGTTTCATGGTTTCGTGTGTGACTTGCCTTATTTAGTTCCCCATTCCTGAACTTCCTGTAGAGAGGAGGATAGTTGTGTGTCTAAGTCTGGGAGTCCAGAGAGATCATTCAGTGGCCAAAAGCACTTTCCACCAAGCTTGATGACCTAAGCTCGATCCTGAGACCCACATAGTTGAAGGAGAGAACTGACTCTTGAAAATTGTCCTCTGAGCTACACACACACACGCGCGCACACACACACACACACACACACACGAGAGAGAGAGAGAGAGAGAGAGAGAGAGAGAGACAGGCAGAGAGACGGAGAGAGACAGAGAAAGACAAAGAGAGACAGAGAGACAGAGACAGAGAAAGACAGAAAGACAGGGGAGAGAGAGGCAGTCTAGAAGACTTAAAAAAATAAACAGCCTGGCAGAGGCAAGCAGATCTCTAGCCAGCCTGGTCTACAGAGTGAGTTCTAGGACAACCAGGGCTATTACACAGAGAAACCCTGCTTCGAAAAATCAATAAACAAACAAACAACTGGTTTCTGTCCCTCCAGTAAAAGAATCTCTGCATAGGGAGAGAGAAGAACCTGGCTTACTAGCTGATGTTTACTGATTTTCCTGATCCCCACAGGGTTAATTATTATTTCTGTGGACCTTGTTTCATAGATTATCATATTATGTGAGAATATCTTCATGTTAACAAAACCCCAGAGCCCATAATTTAATTTACTAAATGTATCTTGAGTGCCTGTCCTGTGCATATGCACCATGCTGGAATCTGCAGCTATAGCAGGGGCTGGACAGGAAGCCATCCTGTCTTCCCAGGGCCTCAAAACAAGTGAGAAAAATATGGCTGGGAAGGGCAAGGTGCTGCAGGGCCTGGAGAGCTCTGCTATCCAGATCCATTCATAAGAATACCTTCTTGGGCAGAGAATGGGGTTCAGTGGTAGAGCCCTAGCCCACATGTATGTGACCCTTTGTTCCAGCCCAGCATCATAAAAAGCAAGAGTTGGGCAGGATGTTACCGGCTTGTAATCTCACCACTCAAAAGGTAGAGGCTGAAGGATTAAAGGATATTCAGAACCAAGACCCTGTCTCAGGTCCCACTTCCAACTGAAGCAAACACCTTCCTAACTCAAGGAAGAGTAAGATTGAAAATACTGTTTCCTTAAAGGATGGTCTAAAGCTTGGGAAAAGCATAGTGCTTCTTAGCAAGCTTGAAGTTGAACAACCAAGTAGACAAGTGAACAGCCTTTCTTCCTTTCTGCAAGAGGCTTTTGTTCCTGCACGTTCCTTTACAAATGTAAGAGCTTTCTCTTTATGACTGTTAGTGCTTCTTTGCCTTTCAGTTCTTTTCAAAGTCTTTGAAACTTTGTTCTTGTAATTGTCTAAGTGAGAAAAAAAACCAAAAATGGTTAGTGAAAAAGATGATCAAAATTATGTGTTATGAAAGATTTGGTGATAATTGTATCAAACTTTTATTAAAAAATCATTGTGTTCAATATATTTTAAGATTTTTGTTGAGACATTGTTTCTCTGTGTAACAGTTCTGGCTCTCCTGGAATTCACTTTGTAGACCAAGCTGGCCTCGAACTCACAGAGGTTCACTTCGAACTAACAGCATCTGTCTTCTGCCTCCCAAGTGCTGGGATTAAAAGGATATGGCCACCACTGCCTGGCTAGAGTCTTTACCTTCTGAGACCCTCCATGACCCTGAATTTTATGAAGCTTAAACATAGCACCAAAGATAATTTTTTATAGAGACATAAGACCCACAGCATATAATTCATCTGTTAGTATACAATTTGCTGGTTTCATTGTACTCATAGAGCTGTTCAGCCATCACTAGAGTATCCACGGAGATGTCCTACTGTCATTAGTGTCAATTTCTGATCATTTTTATTACCTCCAGTAGGAATTTCTGTACTGTGTTGTCACCTTTATTTCTACAGCCTTTGGCAATCATTGATCCACTTTTTAAAAATTTACCTATTCTGGCATTTTAATGTAAGTGGAACCACATGAAAGAAAGCCTTTTATATCTGGCTTCCATCACTAAACACACTGCCTTCAAGTTTCATCCATGATAGCATGCATCAGTATTTCCTTTCCATTGTGTGGTTGTATGGCAATTTCAAAAGTCTGCTTACACGCTTATGGGCTGTTTTTACTCAATGATTTATTAAACTTGATTGCTTTAATGTTATTCATGTATTTTTTATATAGGGGCTAATATAGTCTAGGCTGGCCTCAAACTCACTGTGTAGTCAAGGATGACTTTGATCCTTCTGTCTTTCCTTCTCTTTTGAGCTACTACTCCCAATTTCGGCAGTGCTGGAGATCACACCCAAGGAACTTGCTCTACCAACTGAGCCACATAGCCTCAGTTTCCTGATTTTTAAATTGTGCTGCCTTAATTTTAAATTGTGCTTCTTTCTTTACAAAAGGCAGGTGGCATATGTACCTGTGGTTTTTAGTAAGCATAAAGTTTTGCCTCCCTACCTGGTGAGACTAACGTCCCATGAGGTCTTTAGCAATGGTTGTAACGATAACAACTTTCCCCATTGTTCTATTGAATGTCTTTTTATTAACAAACAAACAAAGCCTTGTAATATTGTGGGCTTTTGGCTCCCTAGGTAGAATATTTATTTTGTAGGATCTTATTTTTTCACAAACTGGCACATTTATTTTGTAGGCTTCTTTTCTAGTCAGCACATTTTTGCAAGGTTGGTGTGAGCAAAATACATTTGCCTATGCTACCTGTAAAAATGATTTACCATTTTGAGCTGGACAAGTGACACACACCTTTAATCCCAACAGCCGGGAGGCAGAGGCAGGGGCATCTCTGTGAGTTCAAGACCAGCCTAATCTACGTAGTGAGTTCCTAGACAGCCAGGAATACACATTGAAATCCTATTTCAAAACCAAAACCAAAAACTAATGAAACAAAATGATTAACAATTTTTATAGAAATTGTTTTCATGCTATTCTTTTTTAATTTCAATTTGATTTGTAGGCCTGTACTTACAGTGCCTTGTACTTAGGGAGAAGCGGGAAAGTAAAGAAGTCTTTAATAAAAAGGTTGCCCTCCAGCAGAAGAAAGCCTGAATACTTTACTATTGAGGGACAATTCTTGCTTATCTTATGTCACTTGTTAATCCAATAAGGGT